CAGTATACAGTAGTGGTTGTAAACGGCCAATTTTGCTACGGAATTATGAAAATTCACACTTCGATTATCTAGAGTCAAGTTGATGAAACTCATGTACTTTGTATTACTTAGATTTCGAACACCCAGTTTGCTGGGTGGATAACTGACGGGCGATCAATTAATTAACTGCCCTCGTGGTCTTTTGAAGCGTTTTTCGAAAATAAAATCAAGGCGACCGACTAACAATAGATCAAAGGCATAGATAGCATCTTGCTAACTAACTTGTCTTTGCATAATATTGGAGCTGCAAGCAGAATACAGTGTATCAATAAACTTGTGACGTTAAATAAATGTTCACTTATAAACATATTATAAGTTACAAAACTCTCAAACAACATATTGAAGTGAACAAAAAGGGACGAAGCGACTCATAATGACATCTAGAAACGTTGACCACATGATTGTGGAATAACGAATCATGGATATTGTGTTACCGCACTAAATCAGTATTGTTAGTATTATCAACGAAAAAATAAAATAATCACCAGTCTGTAAAAAAAGAGCCAATGGCAGAAAGCAAAGGCGAGTTGTCTCAAAAATAAAATTAATGAAAAAAGAGGACACCCTAGCAAAACAAAACTAGATTAAATACGTTGTTCGTTGTACATTACATCTAGCAAACGTAAAAGACTATATTTTGTTTCAATGCTCAGGAAGGAACAATTCGAACAACAAAAAATTTCCATTTCTACAAGATCACGCTGATTCGGCGAACGTTTTCTTAGTGCTCCGATAAGAAACCGTACAAAAAAGACGCAAAGCATACAATCATCTCATATCGCCATCAGTGTAAGTTTAAGTATTTACATTTTTATGAGAAAACGTGCTTCATACACGTAACCAATCAGTGCGCGAGAAAAGTTTTTGGAATAAAATGCGTATCAAGCAAACATGATTTCTTCCGAAATACACGTCTAGTCGAAAGCCATCTAACACGTTTTGTACGCTCTATTCTTTGGCGTAATACAAATAAAAACTCGATAGTATTGATTTTTAACTTGCGCAATTCGTTTGTTTTGTTCACACCTTTCTATTTCTATTAACAAGCCTTCGATTGATCAAAATTGCAAAATAATGAAAATTATATGGGCAATGGCACTCATAATGTTGTTTTTCATTCAATTATATAACGCTTTATTATATTGGTATACGTATGTTGGTAATGCAGGGCTTGGAGTGGGTCAATGCAAGGATATAAGTTTGTAAACATTTCCGCGTTGTTAGTTGGGTGAACTAACAAGGTTCGATATAGCGCGTTGTGAGTTGGGTATGGCTGTTTTTCTTTGGCACAAGAAAAAAGAATAAGTGCTGATTTAATTCATGCTATTAACTTTGAAAATATTTAAGTGTCATCTGAACTAACATTATAAAAAACTGATGTGCGATTTGTCAAAGGAATGACATTACACTTGTTTTATACTCAATGTAGGGCAGATTCATCCGTAGTTTATTTTATGGTATTGATCAATTAATGACTGAATGCGACATTTATCTATAAACTTCCATCCGCGTATTAACGCTAACTCACCCGCAAAAACAAATATGGAAACCAAAAGGCTAAACGAAGATCAAGCGGAAGCCCTAAAAAGAGAATATCAAGCAAGTGATGAAACTAATGAGACATACAGTAAATGGCAACTTAATTGGAGGGAGAGAAAAGTTGCAGGTAGGTGATTTTCTTTTTGCAAATAATTTTAGTGTTAGTAACCCACGATTATCTTTAAATCGTTACAATGGATCAAACAGATACACTCCTCGATATTGATAAAAATATTATCGCAAGTCTCCACACACAACGATTACTGTCAGATCCATCATGGCAAGGTCAAACTATGGTAACTTTTCACACTCTATATCTCTTGAAGAAAAAAAAATCAATTATGTCCGTTAGACGTCTTCTACGCATACGCCAATATGACTCATCAGGTGTCAGTTTGCATTATTAATAGATTGCATATTGCATTACAAATTCAGGCTTCTGCATCTTTTTTTTAATTTCGTGAACATCGTCCTCATCATTGTTTCCGCTGTTTCTGTATCCATCACATTCCATGCATTCTTAGGAAAATCGTTTGTTCGTCGAGAAACAAGAATGAATAGAACAATATGAACAATATGAACAAGAACGACAAAGGTTGGAGAAAGAGGGTGAGAAAAGAGCACGAGAAAGAAAACGAGAAAAGAACAGGAGCAGGAAAAGGAAACACGAGTGGGATTATTAGTGAACTTAGTATAGTTGAATAAGCCAGAAAGAAGAGGCAGGGGTCATGGCGATTGTCAAGCTATCAGTATTAACGGGTATTTGCATTTCTTCACAAGCCTTTAGGAGGAGGAGGAGGATGTGAACATCAGACGAACTCAAAAATGACATGAAAATACGACAGTACCTTTGTTTGACTCACACGATAAGTTTGAATGTATGTTAATACGTACATAGTCTGTTAAGAAATGCGTTGTTTATTGTTCATGAATTTTGAATGCCTCTGCGTGAAATAGACATATTCCTTGAAGAAATTCTTCATCTTTGAAAAAGTGGTTACTCCCATGACGTGTCCTCTCAACTGAGAACATCTCTATCACCCTCACAAGTCACTCATCCTTCAAGTATGTTGACCCGTATTTCCTTATCTCAAAATATCGATCGGCCATTTCGGTATTTTGTTCAAAAAAGTAACCGTCAATTTGATACCAGCCCAGGCAATCATTACTCCATTATCTGCGCAAAGCTCAGGAGGTGGGAAAAATAGTTCAATATCGTCCTCCGTCGCTAGCTTGTTCGACCTATTATAAGAATAATTAAAAGACGAAAGAGAGAAGTCATATGTTGGGATGCAGTAAACCTACTCCTAGGAGAACCCTTCCTCCCCTATTATTATTCTCCTTACCTCTCTCTAAACAAACCCACTGCTCGCAACACCTCCACTACAAAACCAATTTCCTCACGTTCCGATCAAATGCTCTACAGCGACATATTGAAACACAGCTGCCAGATCTCTCCTGACCTCTTCATCTTCTACATCCAACTTTTCCTCCTCGATCAAATATTTCACTGCCGTTTTCAATCCAGTTAAATGTTGAAGTTGAAATTTGTCCTTGGTCATTGGGATTGGGAAGTTATTTTAGAGGCGTTACCAAGAGAAGCATAGCGTCCGAGTGCAGCGCCAGGCCACCAGAGCGCCCGGGAAGCCAAGGAATGTTTAAGAGGCGGGTGACTTTGTCAAATGCTTCACTGATCGAGTCACCAACCGTCGTAGAGAGAATAGTATGAGAATTCACGTGGCGGGTTAACAGCATCAGCGTATGGCCACCGGAAATTAATAGAGTCAGATAGGGAAAGGAGAGAAGTGGATTCAAGAGACGCAGAGTCAGAGCGTGAGCTTCCTAATTAACAAAACGAATGAGTTTACAAACGAGCATGATATTTGTAGCAAGGAAACGAATTGTCGTGATTACCATATGATGAAATCCAATTATTGGCTTCCTGACATTTAATCATTCAAAAATCAGATTCATCGTAAAGCAGACTTTTTACATGCTCTCCCAATTCTCAGAATCGTACTCCCTTCCCCCCTTACCTCAAAACACAAGCCAGACTCTTAGCCGCGTCTACGCCAACGCCCAAACAGGGACCTAATCCCGGCCCTATTGTAACAGCAATGATATCAACATCCCTAAGAACGTCAACTCTTGCCTCTTCCACTACGTCTCTAATCACTGTCGGTAGATTCTTTCTATGACTTACCATAGCGAGCGTGAGTACTATTCCGCCCTTGGGCTCGTGAAGGTGGGATTGAAGATGAATGCAGTCACTAAGAATGGCACGAGAAGAAGTGACAATGCCTACTGCTGTGTCGTCACAGGAGGTTTCGATGCCAAGAGCTGTGATGTGGGGAGAAGAGAATGACGTTTGGACGGAGAAATTTCGAAAGTGGGAAACAGACAAACGCGGGAAGAGACATTGGAGGGTTATGGGGTATTGGCGGACGGTAAGTCTAAATTGTGTGAATGCATACATGGCATAGCGTGATGAAATTTTGTTGTAAGATCAAAAAAATCTAAGTAACACCCATTGAAAATTTACCCTATCCGGTAAGCAATAAAGAACGAACCCAACTGTGCATATTAATATAGCCGTTGTAAATATGGATTTTCTGACCGTGAATGCTAAAAACATTATTTTGCTTGTCATTTTATTCCTTAAAAGGAGCCTTTAATACTTGTTGACACTATTTAATACTTGATGCATGGATAGCTCGAAAAACAGTGCTTTTTTTTCTTTTGCGTTCGGCTTGGTTTTTTTGTACGCGACTTTCCCATATTAGGGATGGAGGCCTAGTGCTCACGAAAAGTGGACGCGCAATCACGTCTTTCAATGTCTTTGATTTTTACCCATTACTGAATGCAGCATGCACGGCATTACTACGTTCGGTCTATTCTAAATCGGCTACGACATGATAACAGTACTAGTCTTGTTACCGTTACTTATTTAGCAGATTAGAAGTTGTTGTTATTGTAACGGTCCACAAGCGAAGTGACGATCGATGTATGAAGGCAAAATTCTCATCCAAAAACAATGAACGCGTATACGCATGTTATCAATTGCTCAGATAGTCGGCCAGATGTAATTTCGCGCAGTTGATATGAACGGAATAGCTCTCTTCCATTTTATTCTCGTTATTAGATTTACATCGGAAGACCGTTAACTCAACAATATTGACATGGAAGCATATTGGACGAGAAAAAAACTTTGAATAAAACTGTAAAATTGCTCATGACTTACAGATTTATTATTATTCAAAAAAAAGTTTTCGTCTCTAATTATAAGAAATAAACGTATTAATATTGTAATTAGTTTTGTTGTAACAGCGTATAGCTCATACCTGCAGCCGAATCCAAATCATAACCACGACTGTTTCTTGGCTTGGGCAAATCTCCAGTAGGTAGTACCTTACTGGAGTATTTACTCTCCTTTTCAAGATTTGATAATGGTTTGACATTATTATGGTAAATGGTATTCCACATGTCATCAGAATTACCCTTATCCAACTCTTGCCCAAGATTGAAAATATATGGCCAAACTGTGAATGCATCCGGACGTTTGTCAGGATCAGCATCACAACACCATTCAGCAAGTTTCCTGTATTCTTCTGGCGTTGAGTCAGGCATTCTTGGCCGTAGCCCACCCATGATATCACAGACTAAATCTCTGTTGAATTCTCTATCTCTGAAAGGTGGTTCACCAGTAGCAATTAAATACATAATAATACCAAAAGAATATATGTCTGATTTCTGAGTAAATTTGCAAGTATGAAAGACTTCTGGTGCAATAAAGGGTAAGACACCTTGAATGGTTGAATTTTGCTGATGTGAATTCACTGGTTGAGAAAGACCAAGATCACATATATATGTTTCTATCTTATCTGAATTGTGATGCATAACTACATTCCCACCATGAAGATCACAATGCATTAACCCTTCACTATGAATATCTTTCAAATAATATGCAATATCTTCCAGATACTGTAATTTCCTTCTCCATGACAAATCATTAATATTTTCATGCAAATGAGATAAAAGACCACCATGGTTGGCATGTTGCATAACAATCATTAACTCATTTGTTTCTGGGTCTTGTGTGAATCCATAAAGTCGAAGGAATTTACTATACTGGTTTGCACACTTGGCATGATTTCTGAACTATTAAATAAAATAAACAGAGTAATTATTATGTTGAATTATAATATCACTTAGTCAAAATATTGAAGATTACTTACCTCATTGATAAATAGTAATAGTTTGTCAGAACCCTTGAAGCACTTTAGTACAACTGCTTTTAGCATATTGATATGCTTTTTTGACCCACCAATGTATTTGGCAGTATAGACTGTTCCATAACCACCAGCTCCGATCTTTTTAATTTCAATAAAGTCATAATACTGCATGTACTCGACATCTTCATTGATCTGTTTGAATCTGTCCAATAATGAATGTATATCAAGGGAAAAAACTAGATAATATGCTTGAGTATATGGCTCTTGAGTTATTCCACACATGAAACGATTCTCTATCTCAGGGGTTGGTATCTCTGGATATTTCTGAGTTAGCTATTTGAGTAAACAATACAGTAATTACACCAGTCAACGCAATGCATATTAATATGAATATTAGTACCATTTGCATTATTTTACAAATAAATAATTTACCTGAAAGTCAGATAACAATGCATCCTGTCTGTCAACTGTTATCTTTTTAAGCATCACGTTTGTCCATTCATTTACCATTGGTTTTAGCCATTCTGCTATATGTGTGCATCCATGGAATAATGATGACATTTGTTGTATATTTCTCAATTGAGAATACTTTATATCTATCCATTTCAAACTGTCATACTTGGTCTTCCACTCGTTAATCAACGAAGCCGAAATATTACTATGACACATAATAATAATGCATTTATTTCGGGGTTTAATCGCCTTGTACACGCCAGGCATAATCCATACTCCGATTTTATTAGATAATACTTTTGTTCGCTTGCTTTATATGTGAATCCGATGGTAACCCAAACATCCGTGTTAAGAATATCTGGATGCTTATCGTATAACTAGTGAAAATGATCCATACTAATGAGTCAATTATTATTTAACTATTTTCAATGACATGCCGCATAAGTAAATAGTTTACCTCAGCATAATATAAATCATGTGTCTTGTCTGTTATCTCAAGTGGACTCAATTTAATGTATGCGTCAGTAGATACAGATAGACCATTCAAGTATTTAAATATCCTCTCATCATCAATACAATCGTATGGAATCCATTCCAAATAGGTCTGTTTGTAGTTGAGTCTTCTTAATAAGCTCATCGAGTTGTCTATTGGTACTAGTCCATCCATCACATAATTGTTTATGTCCGCATATGCACCATACGGGACTACATCGGAGTAGTCCACATGCAGCGCAGAATCCATAGCGAGAATAATAATGGTAAAAGAGTTTATTAGCAACCATGTAATAATTATCACGGTACTTGGTAAATCCTTCTATCAAGCAGTTGCGATAATAAAGCCATTTGGAATATCTTCTAAAATGAATAACGGCATTGTTGTGTTCGTGCGTTGGAAGTGAGTATATCCTGGCAAACTCACTCACAAGTGTTGGCGTACATGTTTCACCGTTTCCAAGTAGTAGTAATGTATAATAAGTAGCGTAGTAGACGTTGTCAACTTGAGTTGGCTCTATATCGGTAATCTGCCAGCTAGGAATCCAGCGAAGTTTTGCATAATCACTTGATAAGGAGGATTGAACCAAATTGTTAAGTGCTGGATTATTAACAATCCCTGGCCTTAGCGACATAGTTTGAACTATCGAGGCTGGGTGTGTGTTACATTTACAAGCCAAGCCATCAGCCAATAAAATTGACTCGTTTACTTTTCTCTCAGTTAATGTGCGCTCCTCACGCAGAATTATTAGTACGTCATAAATATTATTATATTCGTAAGTAATTGCCTCACCGCAGAAACTGTACACGTTTCTTCCTAGATAAACTGCGTTCGGAATGAAGTGCAGCGTATTTACATTGCCAAATAACCTCATACTAAATCAAGAAATAAATAGTAACTAAAATATGCTCACTTTTTACGTACGCAATTTCAACATACCATAATAGCCAAATTTGTTTCATAGATGACCTTATCTCAGATAGTAGTTATATTGCTTTCGTAAAATCCGAACCTATGATGAAAAATTGTTCAAAAGGGTAAAGCTATTTCAAGATTGGATAACGCTGGAACTTTCAAACAAGTCAATTTTGCCAATATTTGCCGATGAATAATATCAATTCCGATAATTCGGAGTTTGACAATAATGGTGAAGCTCTTCAAGAACTTAAGCAAAATTATGTTATCACATTACTGAAAAATTTGCGCTAGTGAAAAATGACATTATAGACATCATAATTACGACGAGCAACGTTACTGATGCCATTTCAATCGGCCAGCCACTCTTACATTTACTAGGTAGAGCTATGCAACTCCTAGTGTTACGAAACAGGGTATACCAATCCCCTTCAAGTCAAACCGTATCTAAGCAGCACCCAATGCGGACGTTTTGACATCACGACTTGCAAGGACGATTTAAAAATGCTTAAGAAAATATTCGCTTATATATTATACATATAACGGGACATCTATACTTCGTTGATGGTCAAAACCGTACTTGCAAAATTTTAGAACTTTACTTCATTACACAAAGACCGAAAGTAATTTCCCCGTGAAAGTTAAAAAGCAGGATAATGTGGTATTGATAAACCAAAGGTTGCAGAAAAAATGTCGCTTTAAAAGCGTCTTCAACCAAAAAGTTTCCAACCCCGACCAAGACGAAAAAGATTTCAAAAACAACGAAATAGCCAAAACGTTACTTGCAACAACAAAAATTTCAACTCGTATTGCTGATGACATAGACACTGTGAGTGAAGAGCCAGAAGAATTCAAAACAAAAAAAAAACATCGTTATGCACAATTGATATTGACTCTTGTGATGACAGTAATCATAACAACAACGATGAAGTCGAAGAAATCGGAAACTGAAGTGGAAAAAGAAGTAACAAATAGCAAAACTAAGAAACGTACCACAAGAAGAGTTAATAATAGAGCTAGCGTCAATAAAAGAAGAAAAGTTTAAAGTCTTTATAAGTTTTTAATTTATTATATATACAAGATCAGTATTAAATTAATCATACATAATACTAATAATAATGAGACTTCTAACTTTATTATCGTAAAGACTTTTATCGTATCGTAACACCAACCCCTTTTTTAGGGTTCACTGGGAAAAAATTTTTATTATATTCCCATCAGTATTAACTCGAGTATTTAAACAAAATGGTGCGACGACGAATTATAGGTGCTATCGCTATTCCAGTATTCCTCAATAGTCGTTGCAAATTTCCCATTTGCAATAAAGCTTATTAAAGATATTGGCATTAAGAATAATATAAAATTATCAATAACAATAGCCAATATTT